CGTAAAGTATTGTTTATTAATGCATATTACTTAAAACTCAAGATTACAAGTAGATTGTGCGTAAGTACAACTTATTAAAGCTCCATATCTGAATTTGTGTAACTAATTGCAGATAAATATAATCAAATACAAGATAAACATCTTATTTTAAAGATAAAAAATCTCAAATATAATTAGGATAATTATTGAGTTGTCACGTCCCGATTTTTTTTTTCTTTTTCTCTTTCTTTCGAGTGCCGTGACGTCATTCTCAATAACTTATGTCGTGACAAAAATACGAACTTAATAATTCAAACATTTATAAGGTGTTTAATATAAATCGTTACATCGTTGCGGAAGCGTAAAATACTTTAACATAATCAATGCTAATCAAAATGTCTAATCAAGCATGATTTCAAAACGTAGTCCCTTCTTTCTTCTTTCACTCGTCTACTGACGAATGACACCTGAGATATATATATACATGTATAGTATAAGCAAAAAGCTTAGTGAATACAATATAGTTTCATGATCACATGCACACATATAACAACGTTTTAGTGTATTTTAATTATTATCTTACAAGTGAGGCCTCGGCTCGTCACTTTTCTTTGCGTATGTGGCGTATTCTATGGACGAGGACTTCAAGACCTCGGAATTGCAAGCCCTCCTTTCATGTCCAACCCACCCCGTATGGTGGACGAATCTTGCCGTATCATACTAGTTGCATATCATTTATTTGCAATATTCACTCATTAATGCAAATCTCATCGTGACATGCAACATACATCTCATGCAAGTGACAACATAAATCACATATGCATCGTCATTTTTCACATTATACACATACTTGAATATCATATTGATAATAACAAGTCATCATAATCTTTCTCATTAACATCACCTTTCATATCATGCATATATTTAAATATCATATACATCAATATAATCAAGTCATAATCATATGCATATAAACGTATCATGCATATATCATGGATAAAATACTTTTGTATTATCATGTATATATCCCATAAAAATCGCATAATGTACTCACCTTGAATCGTTAACGTTCAATAGGTCGTTCTCTCAAAAACGACAACCTACATGATAATTTATACCATGATATCTCATTAACGTCTTAATTTCTCAAAAAATCAACAAAAGTCAACTATTGTCATCCTGCCCCAACCTAAAGTTAAACTTCGTATCCGAGCATCTTAGTATGCCTCAAACAACTCTATTTGACCTATCATTAACATCCACATAGGTCAAACGTACCAAAAGTCAACCCTTGGTCAACTCAGTCAACTCCAAGGAAGACCAGAGCCTCTGTGGCGACCAGAGCCTCTCTGGGTGACCAGAGCCTCTGATTGTATTGACCAGAGCCTCTGCGGGAGACCAGAGCCTCTGGTTGTATTGACCAGAGCCTCTGTTGGTGACCAGAGCCTCTGGTTGTATTGACCAGAGCCTCTGTGGGCGACCAGAGCCCCTCTGGTTGCAAACCATAGAAAATAATTCATCCTTAAGGACCAGAGCCCCTCTGGTCTCTCTTCCAGAGCTTCTGGTCTCACGACCAGAGCCTCTGGTTGAACTAACCATACTTAGAAAATATTTCAAGGACCAAAACCTCTGTGGCCTATCTTCCAGAGCCTCTGTCTTCGCGACCAGAGCCTCTGGTTGACCCACTCATACTTAGAAAATAACTCATCTAGGACCAGAGCCCCTCTGGTCTCTTTTCCAGAGCTTCTGGTCTTCATGACCAGAGCCTCTGGTTGTACTATCCAGCACCTCTGACTCGTATAATTTCTCAAAAAAACGGCCTTTAGATAAACCTTCAACCAATAAGATAGCCTTTTTCCATAAAACGAGCAATTATAAAAAGTTCATGTTCGACCATAGCCTCTGGTTCTACAAACCAGAGCCTCTGGTTCTACCAACCAGAGCCTCTGGTTCTACCAACCAGAGCCTCTGGTTCTACCAAGCAGAGCCTCTGGTTCCACCAACCAGAGCTTCTGGTTCCAAAGACATGACCAACCAGAGCCCCTCTGATTCAACGTGAAAGTCAAGCAAAGCCTCTCTGGTCTGTTTTTCATAAAAAGATTCTAAGTATAAAACTCCTTTTTTTAAAACTTCAAAAGCATGATTTTGACATAGAAGCTCTTATCAAAAGATACAAAACATTTAATCCAATTTAACATATATAGTAAAAACTTGCTCATCCTTCAAATCAAATACAAAACCTTTAGGACCAGAGCCCCTCTGGTTGTATTGACTAGAGCCCCTCTGGTTGAACCAACCAGACTTAGAATATATTTCAACACTGGACCAGAGCCCCTCTGGTCTCTCTTCCAGAGCTTCTGGTCTTCACGACCAGAGCCTCTGGTCCTACACAAACACTTAACAAGATTAAGGGTTTTACTTTCCATCGCCTCTGGTCCTATTGACCAGAGCCTCTGGTCCTACACGGACACTTAACGAAATTAAGGGTTTTACAGTGGACCTAAAAATGAAGCTAACCATAAAGAACATGAATGCTAGTTGAGTATTTTACCTCTAAACATAGATTTCGGATGGGGATTTTGAGCTCCGATTTCCCTCCCGATGCTTAATGAAATCTTAAGAAGTTTGAATGCCAACTGTAGAGCAAAGTGAAGCCTATTTATATGCTGAGATTTTTGTCGCAATAGTTGAATAATCGGACCAATGGGGAGCTTCAAAGGAGAGGTCGGTATTGTATCTCTGAATTGCAGATATTTGCAAAACAGATCCTTCTGTTGGACCTGCTCGTCTCTGACCCGACAGAGGTCGTTTTCACACCTCTGCGTTGCAGGTCTGAAGCGTAGGAACAAAACAGACCCTTCTGCATTTGCAGGTCTGGTGCAAAATTTTACAGAATAGGTCCTTCTGATTTGGACCTACTTACCTTTGACCCAACCCCCTTAACTTTCGCAATTTTACAATTTCTCTTTCACTTATGGTCCGAACTTTAAACTTATTTTGAGAGTTCGATAACTATTTCCTCAACTAACTACATAAATATTTTAACACCTCAGACGAATTTAATAAATAAAATTATATATTTAAAGACTCGTTCACTATATATATATATTTAGAATTTTGGGTTTTACATGAGTTCTAACAGAATACTTAATTATTATCATTATAAAATATTATATTATTAAACCAAAAATAAATTATTTCATTAT